GAAAAGGCCCTGGAACAGCAACCGCAGTGACTCAGTAGCGCCTCCCTTCATCTTCTGGCTGGGAAATGCTTTGCCATTGCAGTCAAGGGTGAACAAATTTCGAGCAGACCCCGGTTGCTAACACCCCCGTTCCCTACAAGCCTGGACGTAAAACCAGACTCCTAAACCCGACTAAACTCAAAAGCGCGTACAGGGTGAGCCCTTATGCCCAAGCCCCGGCCCGGCCCCCCAGCCGCTCCAAAGCTATCATCACCAAAAGCCTCGGAGAACTCCTGAACACTGAAATTCCAAGTTTAAGGTTTAGGCTCTGCGTCATAGATCCTGATGCCCTAAGCTGGCCCCATGCTCAATACTAGGTCCTGAACACTAGGACCTAAAGCCAGTTTCCGAAACACTATGAACCCACATCAACTCCCGCACCTCTAAGACATAAAAGCCAGAGGACAAACTTGTGTAAGCCAGCCCGCTGGGCCTAGGTAAGCCCCTCAGCCCTGGACCTCAAATCCCTAAACCCTAATTCCTGAACCCGAATCCCTAGACCCTAAACCTTAATCCCTAGACCCTAAACCTTTTCTACCTATATATCTTTAAAACTTTCTAGAGCCGTGTTCGGATTTTGTTGCGTTTTGATTTAGGTTTTAGGGCTTAGGTTGTAGGCTTTAGGGTCTATGCCTTAGGATGTAGGATTAGGGTTTAGGCCTTAGGATTTGAACTTTAGGCTTTAGGGTTCTCCTATTGGAGGCCCCTGGCCAGAGGCGCCTGGAGGCCCTGAAGGCCTTCAGGCCCCTATGGAGGTGCCTTGAAGGCCCTGGTGGAGGCCCGCCTGCGGCGCGCTAGTGGTTGCTGCGATCATCGAAAAATTCCATTTTTTTATCAATTCTTGAAATAGAAAAAGGTAACCAACCAATTCAGAAAATGAGGCTAACAATTCCAAATGAAAAGGGATTCTGGAAGGGTGGGCTAAAAGGCTCGCTACCGTCCCAATCCCTAAACCGTAATCCCGAAGCCCTACTCCCTAGACCTTAAACCTTAATCCCTACCCTAAACCCTAAACTCCAAACCCTAAACCCTAAAACCGAAATCCCTAAACCCTAATGCCTACACCTAAACCCTTACTAATCTGGGTTGCTGTTAAAGAACTTAAATTAAGTGACCATAATGGGTATATATAGTAAATAATAGGGTTTCCCCAATATAGTAACTTAATTTAAGTTCCTTAATCCCTATATTCCCCCAGCTTCCATTTCATTTGCCATTTTCTTTTCCATTTGATTCTCCATTATAGGGGGATAATATACCCTAAACCCTACACTCTAAACCCTAAACCCTATACCCATTATAGTAACTTAAATTAAGTTCCTTAACAGCAACCCAGTCATCCCTGGACCCTGACAAGGAAAGCCGTCTCCGTCAGCTGCGTGGCTTCGTCCACCAGTACCAAAGGACATCGGACCGCGTCTGTGCCTGGATTGCGTAGACTAAGGCTTAGGGTCTAGGGTTTTTAGGATTAAGGTTTAGGGTTTAGGGTTTAAGGTTTAGGGTTTGGATTTGGGGATTAAGGATTTAGGGTTTAGGATTTAGGGTTTGATCTCAACTCAGGGTTTATGACTCTATGACCATTACTTAGGGTTTGGGGGTGTCATTTTGGTTTCAAAGTTTTGAGATTGAGGAAAGTTGAGAACCGTGTAATATAATGGTAAGTTTATATAGGTTTCAGGGTTTAGGGATTAGGCTTTATTTATGGTTTTGAGCTTACGGTTTACGGCCTTGCAGTTCCAGTGATCCCAAAGTAGGTACTACTTGCTAGTTATATTGGACTTTAGGACCCAAAGTAGGCATTGCTTATATTGGGTTTAGGGTTTAGGGTTTAGACTTGGCCCCCCTGTTGTAAGGCTACAGGCGAAGGGTTCACGGTTTAAAGCTTAAGGCTTGGGGCTCTAAACCCTGAGCCCTAAACGTCGCCTCTGGGGTTTAGGGAGACGTAGGCCTTGGAGTTTAGGGGTTTGGGTTGCAGGTTTAGGGTTTAGATGTATAATTCAGAATTTGGTGAAAACAGAAGTGGGGCTCTAATTAGTAGCCTATGGTGACCACCAACTTTGCGGAACTGAAAAACCAAACCTCACATGCACTTGCTAGGATCAAACACGTATCTTCTAACCTATATCCTGAAGCCGAAAGCTGATGACGAACAGCCAACTTCTGAATCCAACGCCGTGCAACCCTGAAGCTGGGAATCTTGGGAAGGACTCTATAATCCCAACCTCCAACTCCCAAAACCTTAAGACATGATGCCTGAAACCAGAAACCCCTCAATCCTGAATCCAGCCCCCAAATCTAATACCCCAAACCAAAATCCTAGGCCCTCAACCCTTCATCTCGAGCCCCTACAGTCTAAAGCCCAAGACCTAGATCCCAAGCCTTGAACCCGAATCCACCCTGAATCCTAAACCCTTATAAAGACTAAATCCTTAATTCTAAGCCCAAACCCGAGATCTGGAGGCCTAATCTTAAGCACCGCACCTAGCTCCGCTGCTTCTAGAGCCGCTGTGGTCGCAGCTACCAGTCGCCTGCTCATGCCAAAGTAGGATTTTGAGTTTAGGGCTTAGTGTTTAGGTTTTCCTAATTTAGGAAATCAGCGGCTTGCACACTTCAGAGTGGTGTGGGCAAACTATGAAACAGGCGCCCAGGGCAAGGCTTGAGGGTAATTGGAGCCCTATAAAGCCTAAAGCCTAAACCCTAAAGCCTAAACCCTAAAGCCTAAAGCCTAAACCCTAAAGCCTAAACCCTAAAGCCTAAACTAAACCTAAACCGTAAACCGTAAACCCTTTGTCACCCTTTGTCATGACTGCAGAGGCCTCAGCTGTAGCGGAGGACTTGCAAGATTCTGAGTGAAAAAACTACCTAGTCTAAGGCCCAGGCAGAGGGAGGCTTCGCCAGCCCCGGCAAGTGCCTGTCACTGCCCCTTGGGGCAAATGTCGAACAAGGTAAGCTTCCACCTCCTGGAACAGAACCTCGTGGATTCTCACAGCAACGCTCGCGAGCTTGACACGCAGTGCAGTTGAACAGGGCCTACACTCGATTGGCCTCCAGCGTCCATGTCTAGACTTCGCAAACTCGCGTAAGTGCTGCATGAAGTGCCTCAATCTCTTAGCAACTCCAACGTGGACCAGGGCCCCGTTCCGAACTTTGCAGAGGTCCAACCAAGCTCCATTATGAAGAGCCAGTGGGCGCCCAAACCTCAAAGCAAAACCAACGTAAAGTTGCAGCGACGAGATCCAACGGACAGGAGCCTCAGCACTCTTCAGCAATGAGGCAAACTCGGAAAGCTTGTCGATGTAGTCACCTCCATATTTGGTGAGCAGCACTTCGCCAGGCTGTCTCAGAACCTCTCCCCAGGAATCAGCTTCATCAGGAACAGCAGGGGTTTGTAAGGTTGGCTCCCTCGCGGGCCGAGCAGTGTGCGTAGCGTGAGTTGCAATGCGCAGGTGCAAGGCCTGAACCTCCCTTACAACCACCCATTCAGTATCCCAGTGTCGGCACAATTGCTCCCAATGGTGCCAAAAGTCACGAGAGCGGTGGTTCTGTGCCTTAGCTGCTGCCAGGTCGACTTGGTTGTTCAGCTCGGCACACCACTCCTCTCCAAGTGTACTCTCAGCTGCAGGATCAAGATGGGAATCGACTTTACAAATTCGTGCCAAGCCGGAGAGAACCTCCTGATGTGGGCAGAGCAAACTCCACAAATCAAAATGCCTACACTTAGGGGAAGGGAACCAAGACCCACAAAGAAAGGACCTAACCTTACAAACCACCCCTTTGCAGTCGGACCACACAGTGGTAGGCCGCAAGATGTGGACACAGTACAACAAGGCGGAAATGGTGGCGCACAACTCTGCGCGGTAAGCAGACTGCAAGGTTCCAGGCACAAGCCCATCTGCAAGCGGGAGACTGGCAGCATCCCCTCCTGGCAATGCAAGGTTGACTACCCAGGCGGCGATTCTGAGAGGAGCTGCATCTGGTCGGAGGCAACTGCCATCAACAAACAAGTGACACTCGTCCAGAGTGGGGACGGGGCGGAAATCATCTTGCACGAGCGGTGTATGCGTGAGTGCGCGCTGCACTGGCTCAAGTGCAGGGGATCTCTTGGCCCACCCATGGAGGAGCTGAGCTGCAGGCAAGGCTCTCAAGGCCTCAAAAGCGATGGGACAAGCCTCCCGCTGGGCCCTGAAGTGAGTGCAGTAGAGGACCCGATGCTCAATGGAGTCTCTCCCCACAAAAGCAACAAGTAGGGCTGTCCGCAAGTCCGGCATGTTTGAGCGCATCATTGGTGAAGAACGTGCCATTGAGAGAAATGCGAAGGAGTGCTCGGGCAGGCACAGGGAAGGACTTCAAAACCAACGCGGTGAGATGAGGATCGCAGAATTTGGAGCCTGCATGTGTGTTGCATGAGATTGCGTTTCAACATATAGGTGCTGACAACGGCATCTGGGCTGGGCCCGGGGGGTCCAATTGCGGCACGGCGAACTGTCTATTTGAGCTATTATAATGGCCATTGACTCAAAACTGGCCGAGCCATGACGAATGCAAGTTGCTACGAAATTCCATGCCATGCCAAGCCACACGCGTGAGGCGAAGTGGTAAACGCAACCCGGGATGTTGACTTGACATGAAGGCACGCCAGATGCATTACGCTGCCGAAGCCTACCGGGACAGACTAAACCATGTAAGCCCGGAGCCTGCAACTCAGAACCCTAAGCGCCAATTAAGTTGGAAAACACCACCCGCCCCGTAAAAGACAACAAAACGCTGACCCATTTGTCCCCTATCTCGAGAAGATTAGATGTTGCATCACTGTACTAAACTGCAGAACGTAATCCAGAACCTAAGCCCTGAACTCATGAACCTCAAGCCCAACTACCCCGAACCCAATAAACCATAAAAAAAAACAACCCTGAACCCTTTTGCCTAAAACAGCAACATCGGCGGCTGGGCATGTCTGGCATTTACTTGTGAAGCGTTTGGATTACCTTGCCAAAGTAATCGCGCAAGATTTTCTCATCCAAGTTGGACTCCTCCTCTAATTCCAGTGTGATGCACTTGGGCGCGCGCCGTTCTTTTGTGGGATCGCGGATAACATCAGGACTGCTCGTGAACAGGTTGTGTTCGAGCGCATCTGTTACAGCAATGCGGTCCTTCGCACTGAGCTGCAGCATCTTTTTTAAAAGGTCGATAGCGACGTCCTCGGCGTGCGGGAATCTTGTGTCCAGGCCCATGCCTTCGCGCGCCGCGAAGCTTTGAATGTACCTCTTGGCATCTTCCTGCTCCACTAGCGCAACGTCAGCTTGCTTGGGGGTTCCCAAGAGATTGAAGATGAGATTGAGCTGGTCGCAATCGCTCGGCGCATCGTTTAGCCGCGTGGGAAACATGTGTCTATCATCCGGAGACAATGGAAAGCATGTGCCTCCGCAGAATAATGGTCCGCGATCTTGGATTCGCATTTCGTTCTGCATGCCCAGGAGCTCGGCAAAGATGCAGCCGACTGACCATACGTCGATGGCCTCTGTGTAGTTCCTCTGGAGACAGATTAACTCAGGGGCCCGCCAATACCTTGTCACCACATGATCTGTGAGATTCCTCGTCAGACGCTTTGCATCCGCTGGATTGGGCGGCTCTGCAGCCTGAGCTGCGCGACTGAGGCCAAAGTCTCCAATTTTGATTGACCAGTCCCCCTGGCTCAACAGGCAGTTGGCCGGCTTCAAGTCTCGGTGCCAGCCGAGTGAAGGTAGCTCAAGCCACAAAGCAGGCTGTACAGCCACTTGTATATATCTTGTGGCGGCAACGTCACATCCTTCTGCAACAAAGTATGGAGGTCATAGTCACATAGCTCCATCACCATGTACAGTTCATTGAATGTGTCAACGGCCTCGACGTTGTACAGCTTGATCACGTTCGGATGCTCCAACTCCCCTAGGATTGTAAGCTCACGCAGAATGCGCTTGACATCGATGACGCTCCAAGTGAAATTTGGAGTCATCCTTTTGATGCCATAAGACGATTTGCATGGTAGCGTGTGTCCACCGCCTTGCAAACGGTGCCGTATGCTCGTGCACCAAGGTGATCCAGCACCTGGTAACGCGCCGGCCACGTCTCCCTCTGCTCTTTGCATCTCCCAAGCTCCTCAGAACCATCATTCCCCGTCTTGGGAACTGCAGTGGGGTGCGCATCCTGCACCTCCTTGCGCAACTGCAGCAGTTTCTCCTCCATGGCCGCCAGGCGCTCGTCTGCATCTTTGCGCAACTGCAGCAGTGCCTCCTCCATGGTCGCCATGCGCCTGTCCGCCGTCACGGCGGCAGCCTCGAGCTCCCGGCACCGAGCCTCCGCAGCTTTGAGCGCCTGAATAGCCCGGAGCTCGGCAGTTGCTGTCTTCCTCTTTTGCTGCGCGGGTGCTGTGGTGGTCCGAACTTGCTTTGAGGCAGATCGAACAGCATCCATTTGGCCAGTGCTCAAGTCGGCGCACAGCTCAGCCTGGAGAAAGCCACGGCCGCGGCCGTCACGTGAGGCGCGCGAACGACTGCGATCTCGAATCCGCTGGTCGCGATCTCGCCGACCGTGGGCCTCCAAGGGCACGTGTCCGAACCAGTCGCGCACCAACATGCCAGTTGTGTATGAAGCCGGAGGCGAGAGGTTTCCCGCAGCCGCTGGCGCAGCAACTGGCGCTGGCCGCTTGCTCCGCAGTCGCCGCGAAGGCCCATAGGCGGAGCCCCCCTGATCTGCATCTGCCATCTTGCAGGATCTCATAACTTTCCCTATTTGGGGGTCCGAACAGCGGCACTTCTGCAGACTTCTTTCTTAAGTGCCTTTGTTATACGTTCACATTGCTATTTCTGCTTGACAGTGGCACCGCAGGGTTCACACTAAACGGTGCTTGATCCGCATCCTAAACCCTAAAGCCTAAACCCTAAACCTAAAGCCTAAATCCTAAAGCCTAGGATAGTTACCGCCGAAAGAGAGCTCAGGCTCCATGCCCCAAAGCCTTTGTTCGTAAGCGCTCTCCTTTCCCAGACCTTTGCTTCGAGCTTTGAAGCTTTGTCCGCGGGGAACTCGGATTATACGATCTGGAATCAATATTCTGAACCCTGAGTCCTAGACCCTAAGGGCCACTTACATGGATGATTTTGTCAGTAACTCATTTGAGCCATACTCTAAACTCCAAGGACGCCCCTTCATAACCTCTATAATTATTCCCTATACAATCCCGTATATAGCCCCCTTTCAGGAGTTTAGACTGTAGCTCATATGGGATCCCGTAGGATTCTATCCAACAACCGACTCAAGCTTGCTCTCCGCAACGTTGACACTTCTTCATGCAATTTCTCACATTTGGGATTGATCCTGAGGCCAAAAAGTATTTCAGATGAGGCAAAGTAGAGGAAGAAGTCACAAACCATGCAAGTTCGGAAACTAATTACTATGGCTAATTCCTCTCCCAAACCACACACATCGCGAACACGAAGTTAAGCCTATAGCTGGAAAGATTACCTGGAACCTGAAGCGGTGGTTAAGCCCTTTCCACCCCTTCCAGGGTATACACTGCAAGATGTAGGATCTGTAGCACATTGCCCTTAACCCCTAAACCCTGTAACCTGGCCACCCCGAATCCCCCAAACCCCCTAGGTCCTAAACCCCTACACCCTAAACGCCTAAAGGCTACATCCCTAAACCCTACACACCTAAGCCCTAAATCCCAAACCCATACACCCTCAACCCTAAACCCCTAAACCCTGAACCCCTACACGCTAAACACCATGCCTTCGCCTCCATGCCGATGCCCTCAGCTCAAGCAGTTTACCCTAGGGATCTGGGTTTTAGGGCTTAGTGTCTAGGTTTTAGGGTTTAGGGTTTCCCAAAATTTCTAGGGGTGTCTAGCTGGGGGTCCTTTAGTAAGGTTCGAATATTTTGGGGGTTCATATTGGTGTCCCCCTATTTAGGGAAACTACCATCTAAGTTTATAAGCAGTACAATTCCCTCCGATGCAGTGTCCAAGGTGTGGGGTATGGCGTTTAGGCTTTTGGGGCCTTGGGCTCTAAAGCCCGCAAAGAATAACCTACTTCCGTATCCAGGCTTTGGATCAACAAGCGTTTAGGATTTAGGTCTGGAGATTTGACGTTTGAATGCAGGGATGTGCGCCCCCAAAGAAGAGCCGAAGAAGCTTTAGGGTTTAGGGCTTAGGGTTCAGGCCGAGTACTGCCCCGACCCAGCAACAGTCCATCAAAAGGGTACAATTAAGGGCTTTCCACTGTAAGAACTGTCACTATCCGACGTTTGCTGAGTGGGGGCAGTATCCAAAGTTTAAGTTTCTGATAGGCCTCTCCATGAACAATGCCAAGCTCTACGCCCCAAACCTTACAAGAGCCTGCTCATTCCTCTGTACTCTCCCTTGGAAAAGAGTTTGCTGGTCCCCCAGCACTTGCCAAGAAACACGGCTAAAATGCTGGAAAAGATTCATGTAACTCCAACGTGCTCCCGATCTCATCCCATATCACTGCCGCCCTAGGGAGGTCGATCACGACACACAAATGTCATCTATGATAATCTTTTGACGAAACGTTGGATAATCTTACATAGGATATTACTAGCTTTTAGCCAAGTTATAACTCGGGTTTTGCTTACCTGCCCTAGACCCTAAACCCTGAAACCCTAAACCCTCAAACCCTGAACCCTAAACTGCCCCAGTGGCTTTGGAGGAAGCACTCCGCGGTCCACAGCCGATTGCAAAGCCTGTGGAGGGCAGGGCCTTGAACTCTACAAGAGCTACAATCAATGGGTATATAGGAATATACGGGCATATGGGGATATATAGGGATATATGGGGACTTATGAGGAGGTATATGGGTATATGAGCTACAGTCAATATGTCTTACATCATTTAAAGGACATAGGTTCCTTCTTAGGGACTATCTTCGGGACTGCACTGAACTACAAGGGGGACCCCTATGTCCACTTTTGAGGGTCCTTGAATGCCATTAATAAGACTTCTAGCTTACATGAGGCTCCTGGAGCTTGGGGGAAATGTTTAGGGTTCCTGTAGTTCTATGAAGCAAAAAGAAAGGGATGTACTTTCCATACGTCTAGCATTGCGGTTTGAGGTTTTAGAGGTTCAGGGCTTCAAGGGTCTGGGGGTGTAGGATCTGGAGTTGAGAGTTTTCCCCGATCAATACTCAGAGTTTTAATTACCTTAGAATCTATAGAATCCTTAAGGGTAATCCCCAATAACCTGTTGTAATCCCTGTATGGGAGGGGCTTGGTCAAAATTGTTGCCCTTTTCGAGGGTATCCTCCATGTTAGGGGCTGTAATATTCTCGGGACCAAGATTTCGACAACCTACATGTATCGTCCTCTGGGGCTATCATGCTACGCTTATGGTTAGGGTTTAAGGTTTAGGAGGTCCTTGTGGTACGGGCTGCATTATCAACATCCTCTTGTTACCTCATGTAGACCCCTAGATATGGGTAGTTCTCAAAATTAAGGTCCCATCTTGGTACCCCTAAATATTAGGTGCCGTAATATAAACTGTAACCAAAAGCGGCCGCTTGAGACACTTCCTGACAGAACCCTTAGCCTATGACTAGGTAGGCATACTATTGCGAAACACTGATGTTCGTTTGCAATCGTATGGCGGTACCTGAAACAAAACCCCTGCCACTATTCATAGGAAGATGGATACTAGGTACTGTAACGCCTAAACCCTAAATCCTAAACCCTGCTCCTGGCGAACTTCTGGTGGCCGCCGTTGCAGCGCTTCTGAAAGCTCCTGTTGGGGGCTTCACCCACTCCCCCAAATACTGACCATCCACGCTCGGTTATCTAATATTCGCATCGCGGTATTTGGCTTTGGGGCTTAGGAGCCCAGGGTGGAAGGGTCAAGGGTGTAGATGGGTGGTTGTCAAAATTATGGTCCCTTTTTGTGTTTCCTAAATATTAGGGGCCTATTATAATAGGGACCCAAAAAGGGACCATGATTTTGACAACCACCCAGATGGGAGAGATAACTGCATAGCTTTGCATTCACAGTTTGGAGGTTGAAGCTTGGGCAGACGTTTTAAGGTTCAGGGCTTAACGTAGCTTAGGGTGCAGGTAATAACAATAGTATAGTCAGCAGTCTTCAAGACTAACAATAGTAATGATAGTAATCAAAGTACTACCAGTAATACTAGTAGTAGTAACCTGGAAGTCAAAGTTCAAGATGTTCAGCCAATGGGCTAATGCTTTATGTTTTGTCTTATAGCAACGGGCTTGGGGGCGCATAGTTGCATTCAACAACTCCACCCCAACCGGGCAAGAGCTGTAGTCTGTACTTCTGATATCCCCCTTAATAGCCCCTAGAATACTCCCCTACATAACCGCCCCTTTAAGGAGTTTAGACTCTAAACCCCAAACCCCCTAAACCCCTGGTGTCCCCCTTGCAATAACTCCCTGTATAATCTCCTACATAATCCCCTTCAAGGAATTTAGACCTTAGCTCACATCCACAGACCCTAAAGCCGGAACCCTAAACCCATTCCTTGGCAGCTGCTTGTCGGGAAGCCATGAGGCTGACCTTTGAGGGGTGAAGGGTTTGGAGATTCAATATGAGCCATTGTCTAAACTCCTAGTATCCCCCTCAATGAGCCCTATAATACTCCCTTTTCGAATCCCCTATATAACCCCCTTGAAGGAGTTTAGACTATAGCTCGTATAGGCTTAGGCTAATTAGGGTTTAGGGGTTTAGGGTGTAGGGGGGGGGTCAAAGAAGGTTGGCGGCTTGCTGAGGGCTATTGGGCAAGAATATTGATAGTTGGCAATGGGTGCTCCAAACTGATGGAACGCAGGAAGTGCTGAGTTTTCTACATAATTCGAATTGTGGATCCACATAGGCGTTTCTGGGGATATCCAAACGGACTCCAAACTCATCGAAATTTGTGTGAAACGTGCCCTAAGAGTACAGTTAAGAAAGCGCATCCAAAACCATGAAGCACATGGATGTATGGCAGTTTCTTTCAGACCTGAAAAGGCCGAAAAGACATAGAAATATGGGGAATGCTCAAAAGGACTGAGCACCCTCGACCGCGAACGAGCAGCTGTTCGGTAGAGCAGTTCCGGATCAACGCTGCGGAAACTTCCAAGGCGTGCGAAGTCGTCCCAGCCAAACTGCGACAACCTTGTCTCTCAGGGTTTAGGGTTTAGGATGTAGAGTTTAGTATCTAGGGAACCGGGGACAGGGGTTGCTGTACGTCAGGTACCACGTATAGTAAGGGTGACAAGGGCCCAATTCCAGGAGCTCCCCAATCCCAGACCTCCTATTCGGGATGATTGAAGCACATATGAAGAGTATTAAGGGCCATTAGGTTGCATTGGAGCCTACTAGGGCTAATAGGGGGAGATTGGGCTCGGGGGGGATTAGGTTGGGGGGGTATGAACAGAAGGAGGTTTTTAGAGATAGTGGTTAGTCAACCTGTGATAGGCATGATAAGCCCGCAATAGTTACCTCATGGGAGAGGTTATGCCTAGGGCCTCCGAATCCCACAGCCCTGTAAGCTACACATTCAACGCATGTAGGGTTGTGGGTGCTAAGCAGGCAATTGTAGCTTCAGCAAGTGTGCGGCGCTAGTAGCTCCAAACCTGAAACCCTAATGAGAGGACCTCGTGAAAAGCTCCCAAGCCCATGAGCAAACTCCTGTCATGTGGATGCACGTGCAGTCTTGTGGAACCTCAGACTCTCAACCCAAACCCCTGGACCCCAAACC